AAAAAACATTGAATTTCTGCAATTGTTTTTAGATGAAAATTGAATATTAGAAAGAAGAAATTAAAGTACAGGTGCTTTATAACACTTCAAAATTGTATCAATCAACCATTGTGTTAATCTCAGTAATCTAGATAAAACTCAGATAGTCTAGCAAAGAAACAACGATAACCAAGTTAAAATAATTTGAAATGCAATTTTTAGGCTTGTTTAGAGGTGTTGATTAAGGTGGTAGTACCCTCTAAGAGGAAAAAAATTTAAAACTTGATATTATATGGGAACATTTATGTTTTTCTGAAATGTTAGATTAAATTATTTCAAAAAATAACAAAATTATTTTTTTTTACCCTCCTGCTCAATAATTATGCACATAAATTAGCAAAATTTAGGCAAAAAAATTGACCTTTTTTTAACAAGAATATTTTGAGAACCATACATGTTCTACAAACCAAATTTTGTAAGTAGTTTTATATATGTTCAAAAAATGTGCTGAATTAAAAATTATATAATCAACAATATTTAATAACTTTAAAATCATTATATTTTAATCAATAAAAATAAAAAAGTATAAGTACAGCTTGCTAAAGTTCAAATTTTAATACTTTAATATAAAAAAAAGTTAATTTTCTTTGGTTCAGCACATTACAAATACATTCAAGAATAATTGCTGAAAATTTGAAAAAAATTCAATGAGCGGTTAAAAAGTTATCTTTGTTAAAAAATTAAAAGATACACAAAAAGTTAAACGCACGAAAAATGCAATTTAAAAAAATACTAAAAACACATTAAGTTTTTTTACACAATCAAACCTACTAAAAACCACCACTGTTGTATGCAACATCTTCTGCTTCATTATGTTAGTCAATAAAGCCTTTTTTAATAACCCCTAACTTTTTTCTCCTGTTTTTTGTGGCACCTGTACTTTTTATCTCATTCTGTTTAATGCTTACATAATCTACATTTAGAGAACTTTTAGTAGTAAAATATCCAGGCAAAACATTACATTATTTAAATGCTGGTAGTAAACCCTGAACTCCATTAATGAAGCTAATTATTGTATAGGCCAAAGCAATCTTATTAACTGTTCTTTTCACATAAACTCTTTTAAGTGCGTGAGTCCAAACCATCTCATCTAGCAATTCATTAACATTTTGAGTTTAACCATGTAAACCTTTCTTGAGCAACGCATCACTGCCAAGAACTATTTATAAATAATTTTTTATTTGTATGGATTTGCATCACAAACTTGCATATAAGAATTGGTATCTCCATCAGCAATGTACTTCATGTACTCGATTTTAAGCTCTTTGACAGATCGGTTGAATAATTGTAGAGCGCCTGAAAATTCCATAATTCCTGAGCTACCTTATGATTAATGTGTGATCTTCCAGTTCTCGTAAGCTGGAATACCTATCTTTTTGTTTTGAAAAACAACTTTTTGTTTTAGCAACAGCATCAATACAATTTCCATGAGATATTGCTGTGACTATACTATTTATTGAGAAGTTTCTTCTGTGCTGAACCATCTATGGAACCATGATGAACCATCTAAACTAACAGCAACATTGACAGTTGATGATTCATCATAATTTTCAATTTTAAAAGTTTTTCATTACGTATGTTCTGTTTGTACTCACTCTAGAGGCTTCAAAATAAGCAAAAGGAAGTCTATTATTAATGTTATGATAACCACGTTTTGTCATACCAAAAGACATATTCATTAAATAACAAAAAGTAATAATTGCTATGTATCCTTGCCCAATATCTCGAAAACTTAACACAGTACATAGGTTAGTTTCTCTCATTTTTTACCTTTGATTACTTCATTTTTATTTTCTATTCATTTTGAAGTTAAAAAATTTATCGTCCATGTAAAATCTAGACAAGAAGTGTGAGAAAGAATCTCTTTTTGATTAATATTGTGTACAATATTGATTGACGAATAACATTCTAGAGCATCTTTCAATTGCCTTCAACAAATTTGAAAATAAATATAAGTTTATAATTGTATTACACTCTTTTTCTATATTATAAAGTTTTCTACATCTAGATAAGTTTTTTTTTCCAAATACCGATTAACTTACATTGTTTGGTGAATGTGCAGACAAAACAGTTTGTTGTAAAGCATGTGAATTATTTAGACAATATTTTTTTAATTTATGAAGTTTTCTTTTTTTTACTCTTGCTTTAGCATATCTATTTTTTTGAACGCATTTATAAGAAAACTTATCAAAAACAACCCATCAATGACAAAACATTTGTTATAGAGTAATTATCTATATCTTACATAAACGAATATGAGGTTTTAATTTATGGATATTAGATCGAAAACCAACAAGAGTTTTTAAGGAACAATTTAGTCATAAGCACACACAAAAACTACATAAATTGGACATATATTTCTCAAGATATTGCAAGAAATATATCTCTAAGGGCCGTTGCTAGGGCACTTTATTTTCCAGTACCAAATCTATCAAGGATAATTTAGGCGTTTGAATTATTTTTTTTTTAAATTTTTTTTATTATTTTAAGAGAAGATATAGTAAATTAATGAAAATTGTAAAAACTGAAGTTTTGAAAAAAAAAATTTTTTAGCCTGTCTTTTGGGGTACTACCACCTTAATAATATTTCAAACTATAGAGACAAAATCTTTTAATGCTTGAATAAGATTTAAACTATAAAAATTATCATTGTTACTTGCTTGCAAAATTATGTAATTAAAAAAGTTATATTAAAAACATGTCTTGTTATACACAGTGCAACAACAAAATCAAAATTTGCTATAAATTTAGAAGAAGAAGCAGTAGCAGAGGCTGCACCATTAATGACATTCTTTAAGACAGAAAACCACAGGTATAAAAAACTTTCGTAAAGTATCCATGCCACAATTTCACATTTCATAACACCCAAAGAAAAATCAGTAATAGCTTTTATGAAAATACTAAGTAAACAATTTTTTTCTTAATTGTGGTTCATCATAGTTCCTATTACGATTATCATGAATCTCATCATAGTAGATTATCATCATAGTTCCTATTACGATTATCATGAATCTAATTAAAACTATACTTAATAAGTCTAAAATCTTCTTCTTGATTATAAAAGAAAACCAAGGAACAAATACTAGTTTTTATCGATGCAACTAAAAACAGCGTCTACTTGTAATAACTCTGTCTTCTTTTCTTGTATCCAAAGGATGTTGTGATATCAAAAGTTCTACACAATTAAAGTAATATTCGGTCGCCTAACTTTTAAGGAAATGATGCTTTTCTTTAACATACTAACTTTTTCTTTAAAATATAAACTTGTGAATTAAGCGACATTTTGAACTAATCATCGGGCATGTTATATGTTTAATAAAATTAACTAATTTAATAAAACACAAATTTAGCAGGGTGTAGGTCAAAAGGGAAGTCCGAAATTTATTTTCCACATTTGAAACCTTTTTTCTCCTTATTTATTACTTAAAATGCAAGTTATTAAAATGATACACAGTCTAGTGTAATAAAACTGGGGATGTCTATTGATATATTTTGATATATACTAGTTGTTACTAACTAATTTTACCACCTGGTGATAGTTAAACAATAAAACTTAATAAAAATTCTACTCAGGGTGTATGTCAAAAGGGAAGTCCAAAATTTGTTTGGAAGTCCAAAGTTTGAAATAATCATTTTGATTTTTCTTAAACCAATGAAAGAAAAAATTCAAAAAATAGAGTTCTGTATAACAAAATAAAATAAGGTATGTCAATTCAAGTTTCTAATTAAGTTATTTAACTCAAAAGTTAGTTTAACCTCCATCAAAATATTGTAATTATTATTTTTTAACAATCGCAAAATTTTGAAACCGGTTTACTATTTTCCGGTTTTTAATATTTTGGAACTTGAACCGTTTTCCGGTTTTTAATTTTTTTTCCAACCGTTCAAGATGAACCGTGCATAATTTGTTTAGTTTTAGCTGTAGTTTGGTTTTAATAGTTATATATAGTAAGACTTTTTTCAACAATATAATCAAGTTGAAAAACTTTTATTTAATTTTTTCGGGTACGTCCAACGACGTAGCGGACATCCCCTAGACATCCCTGCGCAAAAAATTTAGAAATTTGACTCGCAAAAAACCTATTTCAGTGTGCTGCGATATATATCATTGTTTTATATTTACTTCATGTTTACATTAATGTAACTTTACCAGAAATGTTTGAAATCAAAATTTACCTGAAAACTGACCATAAATTTTATGCTAAAACAGGTTAACTTTAAAATTATAAACAAACTCTTTATTCAAACAAAATGCCATGAGTATATATGCCATGAATATAAAAATGTCAAAATCTATTGGCAAATTTGCAGGTAAAGTTACCGGTAAATTTTACATTCACAACACTAGTTCATATTCACAAAGTCACACTTTCCATATACTAATCTTTACAACATTCCTGCTAATTGTCTCTTTAGTTGTTTATCCAATGGATAAACTTGGATAAACATGAATAACCGAAGTTTTGAATGACCGAAGTTTTAAAAGAATGAATGACTGAGTATTTTAGATTTTTACTAATTTTCAAAAAAAAAGTAGGTAATATTCGAAAATAATTAATTTTGTTTTTATAAATATTAATTATTTGATTATTCTTTATAATAATTTGGTTAAATTTGATTTTTTGTTTTAATACTTTGATTATTTAAGATTTTAATAGTATACATTTTTCAAATTTGTTGTTTTGTTAAAAAATTATTCCAACAAGTTGCAAATAAACATAACTTTTTTTATAGATTTATATGAACGAGGTAATAATAAATATTATAAAAAGATTGCTAAAAAAGCAATCTTTTTATAATATTTTTTCTAAAATGACCGAAGTTTCATAAATTAGGCGATTTTACGGTATGTTTTTTTTATTATTTTAAAATCTTTATTTATATAGTTTTTTTGTAACCGTAAACCTTTGTTAATATTCTGTTTTTTTTTGTTGTTGATTTTTAAAAACAAAACTACAGAGTAATTTAATAGAAATATTTGTGATAATCATTGTTGTTCTGTTAAAATATTCACTGAGTTTATCTCGACAAATTTATTTGACAAAATATCAAGTTCACTCCATTCATTTTTGTTGTAAAAATCTTTTCTGAAAGTATTAATAAACTGTTTAAATTCACTAATTCTCCTTTGAACAACTCCCGTTAGCTCACTAATGTTTGTATCAGATTTTCGCGAAACATAATAACGAATTTTTGTTACTTGGTCACAAGCAAAACATCTAAATGAGCGATCGTTGTATTTACTTTGATCAATCGATGCAATGTCTAAATTGATGGACGATTCGATGAGCGGTTTAATCGGTAAATCAAAGGATAATTCGTTGGGTAAATTGACAGAGATAATCACACCTATATATAACAGAGAATTGACAGATAAAATCACACCTATATATAACAGAGAATTTACAGAGATAATCACACCTATTTATAACAGAGAATTTACAGAGATAATCACACCTATATATAACAGAGATAATTAAAATAGATTTTAAAGATTATAATGATTCAAAAGCGTTTTACTTTTTTTTTTTATCTAAAAAGTTGTTGTGTTAACGAAAAATATTTCGAAATAAATAAACATTCAAATAAATAAAGTTTAATAATACATCTGAAGCATAAAAAGATAAATAAATTAAAGTTATATTAAATCTCAATTAAATCTCTTGTATTCAAAAGATTCTATTTCTATTAGGGAGAGTGGGGCATCGCACTTTTTAATTTTGTTTTAAAACTATTTCTTTAAACACGTTTTCGTGTGTTATTTGGTGCAATTTATAGATTAAACTTTAAAATTTTTTGAGTATCAAAGTAGCCATTGGGCACTTTGATAGTCTTTGGGACACCATGAAACAAGTCAATAAAAAATATAAAACAGCACATTTTTATTTACAAAATTCCGAAATGATTTTTTTTGGAAGTCCGAAGTAATGATTTTTTTGGAAGTCCGAAGTAATGATTTTTTTTGGAAGTCCGAAGTAATGATTTTTTTGGAAGTCCGAAGTAATGATTTTTTTGGAAGTCCGAAGTAATGATTTTTTTGGAAGTCCGAAGTAATGATTTTTTTGGAAGTCCGAAGTAATGATTTCTTCTAAAGATTTATCATTAAAAAACTATTATAATCAAGAATTAGAATCGAATTCACCGCTTAATGATCGTCTATTCACATTTTTTCTTAACAGATATTTCTTTATTGTACTTTTCTATTGTTTTAAGCTCAGTTTTTTATTACGTACTAGCTTTTTCACGAGTTTTTCACCTATTTTAATATTTTTATCTTATTTTTTTAATAAAAAGGCAGGATAGGCGTGACAATAACCCGTGAATTAAGCACCTAAGAGTACATAAAAAGATTTTGAAAATACATTCTTGTCAAAAGAAAATATTTCACTTTTAAAATCTGCTTTGAAAGTTTGTAAAAGTTTCAGACTTTAAAAAAATAAATATTAATTTTAAACTAAAATGGTAAACCTTTTTCACTGGACGATATTCTAATACAATGTGCAACTTCTTAAATAGTAACTAAAAATCCAGGATGATTTAGAAGCCAAGACTTCCACTCTTTCATTATAACAAAGTATGAAAGAAACAAACACAGAGACATTTAAAAGCTGCTTTTTTATTAGTATGCGGTGATATAGTAAAAATAGTAACTTCATTATTCTTTGCAAGATCAATTGCATTTAAAATGAATTTGTGATTATCAAATATAAGTTTAGAGTTTTTTGTTAAAAGAGAAAGTTTTTGATATAAACTGCTGAGTTACTTCCGCAAATAACTCTATATTCATCCTTCCTTAAAATGCTTAAATTTTTCTCATCGCAGGTGAAAGCAAATTATTACGCTTATAAAAAAACAGTTTGTTAACAAAGTTCCTTATTCTCTCTCGACAGAGTTATTTTGATTGATGCCTCATTTAGTAACAGTTTTGTTACTTTTTTTGTACAGCGGTGATACTTATTTTATCAAGATTCCAAATGTGAAACCCATCACCAAATATAGTTTTTTATGAATACAATCCTTCTAAGTTACCAAAATAAAACTTTATACATTGTAAATATTGAAAAATTTAATTCTTAATTCAATTAATAATAATTAATTGAATTTGAATGCTTAAGCAACTCCGTTTTAAAAAAAACTGCATCTATTTATTTCAGCTTTCTTCTATTTAATCCAGTTACTAGTAACTTTTAATTTATTTATAATGGCCATATCAAAAACAATTGATCTTAAATTAACAAATGGCTGTCCATAAAACATGTTTGAGCAGGTTACTATGTTTTGCAATTGGGTTTTATTGCGATGATTTCTCTTTCTTTTTTCGCTGTTTTTTCTTTTAACAAAAATTAAAACAAAACACAATTAGAATAACAATTGGTGCAAAAACAGGAAAAAAAAAACAAAAAAAACCTGAAAACCTAATTTTTTATGAAGATATTCCTTAAGAAATGCTGCAGATAAAAAATAAAAGATTCAATTTTATGCAGCATTTCTTAGCAAATACCTTTCTGTTAAAACCAAATTAACTGCTACATCCGTTACATTGCACCCGATAAAGTCCATTATTAGTTTTTCTTACATAGCTCCTCATTGTAATTTACAATTATCTAAAAATTATTCAAACAATGACTAAAAAACAAATTTTAGAGGAAAAGAGACAATTATTTATATGACAATCCTATAAAAAATTAATAACTAAAACCATGTATTCAATTAATAAGTAAAACCATGTACTCAATTAATAAATAAAGCCGTGTATTCAATTAATAAGAAAAACCATCTACTCAATAAATAAAACCATGTGCTCAATTGATAGGTAAAACCATGTACTCAATAAGTAAAACCATGTACTCAACCAATAAATAAAACCGTGTAGTCAATTAATAAGTAAAACCATGTACTCAATTAATAAGTAAAACCATGTATTCAATTAATTAGTAAAATTATGTATTCAATTATTAAGTAAAACCATGCAGTCAATTAATGGTTAAACCATAATTTGATTAGTATGCTAAAGTTTAATTTGTATAATCCATATATTTTGATAGAAAAAGATGACTGATTTTTGCTTTTCAAAATATATTTTCAATAAATGTTTATTGCACTCAAGAGCTAATGGGATGTAGTTCATAAAATAATGGCGCTTTCTGAATGATGCATGGAATGTTAGACTACAGGCAACAACTTTAAAAATTAATAAATTACTTTGCAAAGGAAAAAACATAAACATGCATCTTTCACAAAAAACATAAATATGCATATTTCAGAAATCCTATCCGGCAGACTAAGGGTATCCTAAAAGTCTCACATCTCATCATTTTTTTGATTTTAAAAGCTACTTATTTGAACATTTAAAAATATTGAAATTCAAATTGCACATCAAACAATGTTTTCTCAACCATTTTTTTTCTGAATCAGGAATCCATTATACATCAATGTTTTTTCTGACAAAATATTTGTTTTTTTGTGTGTGTGTTCTTTTTTTAATATATATTCAAATGTACGTCATTACACAATAAGTAGAAAATTCTTTTACAGTAATATAGCTACAGAATAAGTAAAAAATTTAAATAATTTTAGAAATAAACTCTTAAAAAGTGAACAAAGAGACTTGCAGAATATCATTAGGTCCTGTCATCAAGAATATAAGATATTGGTTACAATGTTTCCACTTGTCTTATGCAACAACTTTATAAAATGTTTTAAATCGTTTAATGCAATGACTTAGTACAACGTTTCTACTTGTATCATGCAACAATTTTGTACAATATTTTCACTTGTCTCATTCAACAACTTTGTACAATGCTTCCACTCATCTAACGCAATAACTTTGTAAAATGTTTTTTCTCATCTCATGCAACAACTTTGTAAAATGTTTTTACTCATCTCATGCAACAACTTTGTAAAATGTTTTTACTCATCTCATGCAACAACTTTGTAAAATGTTTTTACTCATTTCATGCAACAACTTTGTAAAATGTTTTTACTCATCTCATGCAACAACTTTGTAAAATGTTTTTACTCATCTCATGCAACAACTTTGTAAAATACTTTCACTTGTCTAACGCAATAGCTTTCTACAATGTTTCCACTGGTCTCATGCAACAACTTTGTACAACATTTTTACTCATCTAATGCAAGAACTTTGTAAATTTTTTTCATTTGTTTTATGCAGTGACTTAGTGGTTTCAGACTAGATACTATTTGCACATGTACAAGATAAATTTTTTTTTTTAACTTATTTTTTATTTTGAAAAATTTATATATAAAGAAATATATACAGAAAACTACAAAAGAAGATTTAGTGATAAAATGATAAAGAACACGGAGACTCACAAATAAACATCTTGACATTGAGCACCTCTCACAACAATTATCATGTAAATTATTAAAAACATACAATATAAATCTAATAAAAATAAAGTTGATATAAAGAAATTCAAATTCATACTATTACAACTTAGGTACCTTTTTGCATAACACTTAATATATGGGAAAGATTCTTATATATTATGTTTCTTAATACATAACATGTTGTAGTTCAAGTAGTTATGAAGATTTTTTGTAATTCAAGTAGTTATGAAGGTTTTTTGCACTTCAAGTAGTTATGAAGTTTGATGAGGAAAATAATTAATAGTTTGCTTTAGTGCCTTTACTATAATTGCTGTTGCAAAAAATAAAATTTTAAACTGGCCATAGAACTTTTGATAACTTTTGAAAAAATTTATGGAATATGATAGATGGTCCATGGTGACAACCTAATTAGAAATTTTAATTTTATAATAGATCTATATACAAGGATAAATGAAGCATGAAAACTTGACACAGTTTAAAACTGGAATTAACACATGTGTAAGAAAATATAGAAAATACTTTTGAACAGAGATTAATGACAAGTATTAGAGTTGGTAGAATATTTGGCATATAATTTTTTTATTTTTTCTTGAAAATCTTTTTCATAGTTTTAATTTTATTTAATGTTTAATTTTATTAAATTAAACTGAATAAAAAAATAATAAAAATAAACACGATTTTGCAACATACCTGAATCTTTTAATAAACTTTCTAAATTGGTGACATAACTGTTTGCAACAACTACATCGTAAACTAAAAATAAACTTTATATCAAAGCAAACATAAGTTTTGATCTACAAAAATCAGAAGTAAAAAAAAAAAAACAACGTTTAGAAGAAAAAAATAATTAAATATTTAATACCTTTTTCATTGAGTAAATGTTCATTTTTTAAAATGCTTGATGGACATAAATCAAACCAACTTTCCATCACTTGGATCATTTGCTCATCTTTTTCAAAGATACAAATGGTAATCTATCAATTTATAACTCAATAATTAGTACACATTGGTAATGTTTATAAATTTAAACTTTAGCAGTAGTTTAAAAGTACATAAACTGCACATGCTGCACTACATTAACTACACATGCTGCACTACATAAACTACACATGCTGCAAGCCAGATCAAAAGCCTAATATTATATTAAATGCATACTTTGATAATAAAATATTTTTTTTAACCTCAAACAGCGCTTAAATATTGACACTACAAATAAAATTTTGAGCAAAAAAATATTTATTCTACATTTTCTCTCAACTCCTTAAAGCTGTAAAAACACATGCTTTTTTAAAAAACTTTTACAAAAAACAAACTATTAATTAAAAAAATCAGTTTACAATTATTTGAAAAATTGTTTAATTGTGTTAAATACATTGCAGTTAGGAGTTCAACAGATTGTTTAATTGTGTTGAACACATTTTTAAAGTGTGTTAAACACATTTTTTTAACTTCAATAAACTACATTTAGGAGTTGAATACATTCTTCATCATTGTTAAATACATTGCAGTTAGGAGTTAAACACATATTTTAATTGTGTCAAACACATTTTTTAAAAGTGTTAAACACATTTTTTAATGATGTTAAATACATTACAGTTAGGAGTTTGTTGTGTTTTCTATCGTTGTTATTGAACTATTTGTTTTATATATGTGTCTATTTTTTTGTATCTTTAGATTAGTACGATTATTATTAAATAAAGCCTTAGTCAAGAGGTCAATCTTTTTATTAATTCATTACAATTTATTTAATAACATATAAAATTATTAGGAAATGTCAAAGATCTTAAAACCGACGAGGCTTGATCTTGATCATAATGCACCAACTGCTTCAAAAGAATGGAACATTGGAAGCAAACATTTGAGAATTTCATTGAGGATTGTGGAGAGGATGATCTAGACAAATTTCGCTCCATCATTAATTTTGTTTCATCAAATGTTTATGATTACATCGAAGAGTGTGATTCCTATGAAAGTTTTTGAAACCCTAGTTTCTTAACTAGTTAACTTATATATAAAAAACCCTAATTAAATTTTTGCAAGGCATCAATTACTTATAAGACATCAAACATCGAGTGAATCTTTAGAAGACTTTCTTCAGGAACGTAAACTCAGCAAAAACTGTAATTATAAGGTTGTTTCAGCTGAACAATATCGAGAGGAACAAAGAAGAGATGCTTTTATTTCTGGAATAAATTTGAATTATATTCGCCAACGACTTCTTGAAAATTCAACATTGAATTTGCAATCAGCATTTAACCAAGCTCATTCTCTTGACATTACACAAAGAAATTCAGATTCTTATATGCAGAAAATATCCTCATCTTCCTTCAATTCAAATATTGTTGCCGCTATATAATTACCAGAGGAACCCTCAGCAGCACTCAATTCTATGCCTATTAATCCACAAACAAAATGCATTTATTGTGGTAATCAATCTCACAACCAACGTAATCAAACCTCTGCTAGGAAAAATTGTCCAGCTCAAAATGTAACCTGTTTTGAATGTGGAAAAAAAGGTCATTTTTCCAAAGTTTGTCTTGGCAGGCCAATTAATATATCCTACAGCAGCAGTGTTTCAGCTGCAATACATAAACCAAGTTTGTGTACTGTTTCAAGTGGTTGTCTGTTAAGCAACTCTCATGCAGCTGTTATTGTCAGAATTAATGATGAACCATTAACTGCACTATTCAATTCCTGGAGCTCAGATAATTTTATAAGCAAGAAAATTATTGAGATTTTAAAAATTAAAATGTTACCCAGTAAGAAGAAAATTTTGATGGCCCTCACAACAATGGAGTCTGAATTAGTGGGTTGTTGTTTGGTTAATCTTAAAGTAAATGGTTTATTGTATAATAATGTTCAATTTGGTGTCTTAGAAAAGCTTTGTAGTTATATCATACTTGGTTACGACTTCCAAAAACTACACAAAAATTTGATATTCCTACTCGGTGGAGAAAAAGAAGACTTCACAAACTGTCACAAAGGAAAATAACCTATGTGCACTGCAAAAATAAAAATACCTTTCTTGTTTACAAACACAGATTCAGACAAATCTCAGCCAATAGCTACAAAATCAAGAAGATATAATGATGATGAAAACTTTATTGAAAGTGAAATATTACAGTTATTATTGGATGGTATAATTAAGCCATGTTTCTCACCATGGAGAGCCCAGGTAGTGGTCATAAAGGATCCTAATAAATCTAGCAAAAAAAGACTTAGTATTGATTGTTCTCAAACAGTTAACCTTTACACTGAATTAGATGATATGATAAATGGACTGGGAAAGTACAAAGTATTCTCTATATTTGACTTTACTTACATCTGAAAAGTGCATACCACCAAATCCCTATCAAAAATTCAGACAAAAAGTATACAGCATTTGAGGCAAATGGGAAACTATTTCAATTTTGCAGGACTCCATTTGGAGTTACTAATGGTGTGTCTATGTTTCAAAGGTCTATGGACAAGTTTGTTGAAGAAGAAAGGTTACATGACACTTTTCCATATCTTGGCAATATAACTATTGGTGGCTATGATCAGGCACATTATGATAAAAATTGTCTGTGGTTTCAAGAGGCTTCACAACGTTAGGGTCTAACTTTGAATAATGAATCAAAATTGATTATTTCACCTTCTTTTATAAACATTCTTGATTATTGTGTTGGTCATAACAACATAAAACCAGATTCTGAGTGATTACGTCCTTTAGATTTACTAACTCCTCTATCTAACATTTTATCACTTCGACGAACATTGGGTATGTTTTCTTACTATTCAAAGTGGATACCTTCGTTTGCTAATAAAGTTCGGCCTTTAATTAATATTAAATCTTTTCCGATCAATAGTGAGGCACTTGAAGCATTTCAATTTCTTAAAAGAGAACTTCACGCTGCCACTTTGAGTTCTATCGATGAGAGCTTACCTTTTGTTGCTAAATGTGATACATCAGATGTAACCGTATCAGCTACCTTGAATCAAAATGGTTGTCGAGTTGCCTTTATGTCTCGAACATTAGGCAAAAGTGAAATCAATTACCCATCAGTAGATAAAGAAGCTATGGCTATTATTGAAGCCGTTCGAAAATGGCGACATTTACTGTTATGGAATCAATTAAAATTAATTACTGTCCAGTAATATACATAGCTGTCTATGTCATCCAGGGGTTACTCGTATGGTTTATTTTGTTAAATCTAAAAACTTTCCTTTTTCTACAGAAGAGGTCAAGAGAATTTGTTCTAACTGCCAGATTTGTTCAGAATTAAAACCAAAGTTTTATCCATTCGCAAATGTCTGCGAGTTAATCAAGTCAATACGTCCAATGGATTGCCTAAGTATAGATTTTAAAGAACTATTACCATCTAATTAAAGAAATAAATATCTGTTTACAGTCATTGATGAATATTCTTGGTATCCATTTGCTTTCCCATGTCCTGATATTAGTTCATCAACTGTTGTGAAATTTTTAGATCAAATATTCTCCTTTTGTGGTTTTCCAACGTACATTCATTCTAACAGAGGCTCATCTATTATATCTAATGAATTAAAATCTTACCTTACTCAGAAAGAAATTACAACAAGTAATTCTACCTCATATCATCCTATCAGTAATGGACAAGTTGAGAGATATAATGGCTTGATCTAGAAAAATATTTGTTTGGCACTAAAAACAATTTCCTTATTTCTAACAACTTAGAAATTAAGAAATTGTTCTAACAGATGCTCTCCACTCACTCTGTTCGCTACTTTCAACTGCAACTAATTGTACACCCCATGAGAGGTTATTCAGTTTTCCTAGGCGCTTGTCATCCTGAACTTCATTATCCTCATGGTTAACTCCTGGCCCCATTTTCTAAGATGTTTTGTGTGTACAAACAAAAACGATACCCTCGTGAATAAGATCGAATTAGTGGATGTAAATCCAACATATGCTAATATTTGTTACCCTGATGGATGAGAGTCAACTATTTCAATTCAAGATCTTGCACTGTATCCTTTTCCAAAAGAAAAGTTTAAAGATACCAATCAGAATAGTATCAATGAGTCTAGTGAGAATGTAACTGCAAAAGTACTTGATGTAAATAAAACCTTCTCACTTGAAATTACATTGGAAATCAGAGTTAGGGTAGATGAGCAAGTAACAAAGCTATTTGCTAATGTATTATGACGTTCTGCAAGAGCTTGTAAAACTACTGTAAAATATGATGACTATATTTTAAAATGACAAAACTAGTTTATGGACTTTTTCCACATAGATGGGAAGATTGTTGTGTTTTCTATTGTTGTTATTGAACTATTTGTTTTATGTGTCTATTTTTTTGTATCTTTCGATTAGTATGATTATTGTTAAATAAAGCCTTAATCAAGAGATCTTTTATTAGTTGATTACAGAATTAAACAAATTGTTTAATTATGTTAAACACAGTTTTAAGTAAACACAACGGCAAAAGTATATAATTTATCTTTTAAACATAAAAAATACTTAAAAGAGACTATGCTGTCAAAATATATTTTGGCAAATAAAATTAAAAAAAATTAATTTTAAATTAAACTGGTCTATTCTAAAAACTGCGCCTGCCTATAGCAACATTTTTAAAAAATACACAGTTGATAAGAGAAATTTGAAATTATTACTCATTTGGATCAAGAAAATTTACTAAACAAAAAATCTGAATTAGTTTCTAAATGCAAACATAAAAATAAGTATCTTTTAAAAAATCTTGCTTCTATAAGTTTGAAGTTTCTATTGATTTGTTCAAGTTCTGATAATTCAAATTGGAAGTTATAAAAAAGATAAAACGTAAAAAGCACTTGATTTAAGCCAACTTTAGTTGATAAAACTCGTTTATAAACTGTGAATTAAAAGTCTAAGTTTAAACATCTGGGTATATATGGATATATATTCATACATTTACTGCACATGTGTATATATGGATATATATGAATATATAAATCCATGCATTTACTGTGCAGT